CTCGCTTGTTTCTTATATTTGTGAAATCCACGTCATCGTCTCGCTTGTTTCTTATATTTGTGAAATCCACGTCATCGTCTCGCTTATTTCTTATATTTGTGAAATCCACATCATCGTCCCTCTTGCTCCTTAGGTTGGAGAAGTCCACATCATCGTCCCTCTTATTTCTGAGGTTTGCAAAGTCGATGTCGTCCTCGTCCCTTTTATTTCTTAGGTTGGAGAAATCGACGTCATCGTCTCTCTTGCTTCTAACATTTGCAAAGTCCGCGTCATCATGTCGCCTGCTTCTAAGATTTGCAAAGTCCACGTCTTCGTCCTCATCGCTACCCGTACCGTTCTGCCTACTCTTGCTCCTGTGGCCCAGGTGGGGGGAGAATTCGCCCTTCCTCCCATGGTCTTTATCAAATGGAGCATTCTTATTCCTGTTATCATCTCTCCGATTAAAATTTTCATTGCCTTTGTTATTTTGGTTATCTGCATCTAGAACCCGCCATTCAATGTTCTGAACAAACTCATTTTGTTCAAAAATTTTCTTCCTTCTCTCGTCCGCTTTGTTGGGTTCAGGTAGCTTTGCATCAATTATGAGGTCATCTTTCTGATAGTACTTTTGCAGGTCAATTATGTTCACATGAATTTGTTTTTTTTTCTTTGCCATTTCGTTGGGTACCCTGTTCCTTCTTTCGTTCTTTCTTTCTCTCTTTTTTTTTTTTTTGTAGGGGTGGGTGGGGGCAGCAGAGTTTTCCGTTTCTGCGTTGCGCCTTTTTTACGCAATTAACAGAGTGAGGGGAAGTGAAAAAAAGGGGAAGCAGCGTTTAGGGAAGCTTTTTATATTTTATAATCGTTCAAGAGAAAAAAGCATCCCTAACCGTTATGATTTTTGTAGCTTATTTTTTTGTTGGTGACAAAAAAAAAAAAAAAAGGAAAAAAACAACGTCCTCTCTTCTTTTCTTTCTCCTTTTTTTCTGTCCCCATCCTTTTTTTTATACTACTTGGAAAGTGTTATTATGATCAGTATTTTTTTTTTTTTTTTTTCTTGTAAATATGTTTTGTTTTTTTATCTTTTTTTCTGTGGTTCCCCAGTCACTCGTATGGAATCACATACACGTTGGCGGAACAGAGGTAAGGCGTTGAACATATTTTTTTTCCTTGCCCTAAAAAGCAGGGGAAAAAAAGCCATAAACATATATAAACGGGTGAAGGTATGCAACTATAAAAAAGGGTGTATCAAGCTTTCACCATCCACAGTGCTGGTGCCGCCCCCTTGCGTGCTTACGATCATACGCATAGTTCTTCTGAGGTACCGCTTCCGATCGATTAGGGGCTATGCAGTGTAAAAAAACAAAAAAGAATAATTAAGCGCCAGAGCAAGCCCGTTACCCCAACAAAACAGTGCAAAAAGCACTCGCGCGGCGTTTTTTTTTTTTTTATGGTCCCCATTTTACGCTTGCATTATTGTTGGTATGTACAGTTGGTAGTTCACCACATGCGTTCGCATGGCAATTTTATTTTTGTTGGCGCAAGTTCATGCATTCGTGGGGTTTTGCTTTTTTGTCCTCCGTCGCTGTTGGTTTAGGGTTCAGTTGTGGACGCACTGTGGTATGGACCGCAACGGTTTAGCTGTGCTGTGTTGGCTTTTATTTTTTTTTTTATCACCATGAGTGGTAAATTTGGGGAAAAAAAAAAATATTGTGCCCATCAAACGGGAGGCGCATAATCAACCTCGAATGCACGTCCTTTTTTTTTCCCCCAAATTTACCACTCGATACATTTACCTTTCCCCAGCGGATACACGTACACAGAGTTGTCCCTTTTGTTAGACACTTTAAAATGAGTATCATCGCCCCTACCAGACTACACGCATGTCCTTCTCGCATTGTTGTCGCTCCATGTCCAACTCGAGTTATGTATAATATATAAAAAAAAGGTCTTAAAATTTATATCACATTTCCCCTTTTTAGAGGAGGAAACCATTTTTTTTATATACAAGTCTAATCACCATATATAAAAAAAAAAAAAAGGCAGGACAGAGAACTACCCATCCTGTAAAAGCTACTTTTACCAATGGGCTACATGCAAAAAAAAAAAAAAAAAAAAAAAAAAAAAAAAAAAAAAAAGACCAAGTCGGTAGGGCGGCTTGTGCATATGCGTTAACCGCTTGTAACCACTTCGTCACTCCCTCAGTTGAAGTAGTCGACGTACCTACTCCGCACGTCCTTTATGTCCAGAGGGTTTTTCTTGTTCGTCTGCGAAGAGTTCTCCGTCTGGGGGGGAGGGGCGACATTTTTAATTTCCATTTCGCGTTGCATTTTCTGGCGCTCTCGTTCTTCCTCCTCGTCCGACGTCACCCCCTTCTCCCTCCAGCGCTTCTTCTCGTAGTCATAATAAAAAATGTTTTCCTCTTCCTCCTCTTCTGCTTGTTCTACCTTTTTTATTTTCTCCTTTATGTTTGAGAAGAATCCTGAAATGAAGGTCTTCCCTATGTTGATTAGATCCATGTTGCTTTCTGCACGCGGTTCATCCTCTTGTTTTTTTTTTTCGCTTTGTGTTTTTTTTTCAGTTACTTCGGGGGGTCCACTTTTACCTGACTGGTCAGGAGGTACACATTTACCTGACTGTTCAGGTGGTGCACTTTTACCTGACTGTTCAGGTGGATTGGCGTAACCCCCTCCATAGGGCACGCTTCCCCCTGCGGGGTAATTGTTGCTGCTTGGGGGATAAGCATTTTGGTGGCTCCCCTGCTGCAGTGCGTGATGGGTCGCCTGATTGAACGATCCCCCGTCTGGGTACGCCACGTGCCAACTCGCATTGTAGTAGTAAGCGTAATTGTCCTGGCTCACGGAGCTGCTCACCCCTCCATCATATTGGCTACCCCCAACTCCGTGGTCTCCGCCCCAGTTCATATTGTACCCACCATCACACGCGTTGCTAATGTGGTTGGAAGACATGGAAGTGGAGTTACCGCCATCAGGCATGTGACTCGTTCGCATACCTTCCTCCATGGATTCTCTCCCCCGGTAGAAGTAACTCACTTGACCTCCTTCATTTTGGTAAGCACCATTGTACTGCTGGTAGGCGATGCCGCCCCTTTCCACAGGGTTGTACTGTGGTCCTTGTCCATGGGTAACCATTTGTGGTGGGTGGTAGCTAGATAAAAATGAATTTTGATCATTCGTTTGGTACGGAGAATTTGCGACAGAGGGGATGCTCATCCTGTCGTTCCACACATGGTTGTGCATGTTTGACTGACCTGTGTTAGCATCAACGCTATGTGGTGTCGGAGGGAAATTAAAAGGAGAGTAATTTCCAGCCCTCTCGTTGTATTCATCCTGATGCGCAGTCAGTGTTGCACTTTTGTGTGGTGGTGAAGCAGGATTAGTTGTAACCGAGTTTGAGATTCTTCCTGTTATTGCTCCTTGGTGAGTAGAACCCACATGATCTGTGTTGAACCTATTTGAATTCTTCGCTTCGAATGGAGTCCTCGCAACATTATTGTCGTTAGGCTGTTGGTAAAAAGGTACGCAGTAGTAGGGGTCTCCTCCCTCACGAGACCCATTTTTCTCTTCACTGATTTGTTCATTTGGGGGGGGCACCGAGGTAGCACCATCGCCTACATGATTATGAGCCCTATTACCCTCAATAGGAGCGCTCCTGCCCACATGAACCGCTGACCCCTTGTTCTGCACATCTTTATGGGGTGAAATAACTTTATAATTGTATATACCCCCCTCGGGAAGGTCTTCATCCTTGAGGGTAGTCCAGTTGGTGGGGACAGTGCCCCCATTGTGCAAACGAACAGATGGCAAAACATACTTGGCCTGATTAAGTAATGACTCATACATGTGTACCAGGTCATAATTTTTTTTTTTTTGACTTCGTATTACATCCACATAGTAGTATATAATTTCAATATACTTTTTAGCTTGCTCTAGAACCCCTAATTCTAAGAGGGTAAAGGCGTAATTGATTTTGTGTCTTATTAGATCTTCGTAGAAGAAGTTGTCCTCATTGGACCTGTTGAGGTACTCTATCACTTCGCACATCTGGAAGGTGAACACGTCAAAGTGGTGTCTGCCCCACTCGCGTGTCTGCCATTCGCGTGTCTGCCATTCGCGTGTCTGCCATTCGCGTGTCTGCGATTCGCGTCTCTCCTCCACTGCAGAAGACTCCACTGCAGATGACTCCACTGCAGATGACTCCAACGAGGTAGCGGCGGTGTCGCCCTCCGCGGCCACTTTAAAAACGCACGGATTGCCACACAACTGGAGGTACAAAAATTGAGACTCAGTCACACGTCCATGCACATACAACTGTTTTATTAAAAAGGAAAAAAATTTGCAAATGTCACCCTTGTACTCTTCGTAATCTAATTCATTCTCTTCAAATTGAAAGAGGAAGTTGTGATAAATCAGCACATAAAAAGAATACCAATAATGGATAAGAACATTTTGCTCAAACGTCATGCTTTCCCGATTTAGTAAAGAAATTAAAAAAACAAAAGCTTCTTTAACAATTCTGTTGTGGACACTAGGGTTATAAATACGAAAAATATTTTTCACTCCATCATTCATGTCCATGTCGTGGTCCATACTGTTGTTCATATGACTTATGTACTTGCTAAGCATTAGTCTGTACTTGTGATCATTGTATTTTTTTAAAATTAAAAAGAAATGTTTGAATAAGTTATTCTCCACGCATATCCTCGCTGCCTTTTCACTGTTATATATGCACAGGTGGTAATACTCTAGGTATATGTCTTCTGTTGTGATTTTTTCTTTGGTACCCATTTTGGAGAATGCCTGGATGAAGTGTGGGTCGACCACATCATTGAATTCGTATTGTTGGTTGTGTACAAACACCCTCTTCTTCTTTTTCTTCTTCCCGTCACATGCATTTGTATCACACCATGTTACGTCTTCGTTGAACGATGGCACTTGTCCACAATAAGCACTTGTACTCCAACTAACATCATCCCCTTGGTACAGATCCTTATCGTGATGGTGCATGTCTCCTACACCGGGGTAGTCGTCTCGCTTTTCTTTCTCTCTTCCTGTTATTTCAAATTCTTCCATCACAATTTTTTTATTGTGCAATGAACGCTTTTGACCAATATGGGAGGAGTTGTTGTCTCTTCTGTTTTGGTAGTGATCCCCTGACTCCTCTCGTGGGTTGTTTTCGCTTACGCGGAGGTCTCCACTCCAGTTGTCGCTCCACTTAGGATGATCACTTTTTCTACCACTTGGGTAGCTATTCCTGCTGAGGAGGCCATCCCCCTGGTGACGCGACGACTCCAAAAAGTACGACACAACATTTTTTCGCTTCTCCATCCCATCTGTCTTTGCACCGCTCCTATCAACACGCACGTCCTTTAAATTAAAATTTAGCATGTGAGGACTCTTCATCACATTTAGAAGGTACTTGTAAAGGCAACTCTTCTGTGTGTACTCATATACATTATTCCCATATTTTTTTTCATTTAATTTTATATGACCATGCAGGAAATTAATTACCTTCTTATCCACCTTGTCATTTCTCCTGCTAAATGGGCCAGGGAATTCTTTTATCGCGTACACTTGTTCCTCTAGCTTGTTATCTCGAATGCCACTTCTGTTACTATGTTTGGCGGAAGTGTGACTTGAGGGGGGGGTGGTTCCTCCCGCATGGGTACGCGAAGACAACCTCGCAGCCCGAATGCCGCTCTCCATAATGTAGATCAGAGGTGCGAATTTCACCTTTCTCCCCCTTGTGTAGAAAAGGGTCCCGTTCGTTCCGAAGCACAGGGCAGTGGCATTACCACTTTCTTCACTAGGCCCATTTTTGCATCGACCCGAACTCCTTACATCCCTCACCAGGTCACTACTACCCCCTTGAGGCGTCCAATTGGGTATGTCACCCCCGTCACTGCGAATCTGTTTTTCCTCATTACAACCAGCAGGAAAAGCGTCAACACAAGTTGCATCGTCTTGTATTCCACAGGTGCGCCCATACTCGCCCCTATTACATTTCACGTTGGTTGCGCCATCCTGCTTATGACCAAGTGGGGTCGCCAACCTATGGTCGTGCGCGTGGTGTTCTCCGTTCGCTGTCCCGTTCGCTATCCCGTCCGCTTCCCCACCTGGCGTGGCCCCTTTACCAGAGTACCAAAAATTAATTTCATTGTTGTCATGGGATGGTTGCCTTGCTGGGCTCATCATCATCATGTCTGAGGACGAATATGCAAAAAGGGACGATACGTCGTTTTTTATTTTCTTCTTGTATTGGGGTTTCGTTTGGCTGTTCGTGTGAAGGGTGGCGTCTTGCCGCTCTCCCCGGGTGTGCGCCGCGTGCGTCATGCTAATCACTTCCGTTGATGCCTCTTCCACGGGCTCGCTGGGCCTTCCTTCTCCCCATGCACTTGTATCATCCCTCTCCCCTTTTTTACTTTCATCGGCTGCACCCGATTGGATGCAAGAAGAGCTGTCCTCCTCGGGTTCGTTTATCCATTTATTATTAGCAAAAGCATGTGGGGACTCTTCCTTCTGGTCTCCATCCTCAGGAGACACATTCGAATCATGAACAGATGATCGTTTTTCCTTCTGATTTTTCTCCCTTATTTCCTTATCAATATTTAGGTCCTTGTTTCTAAATATGTTTTCATAACTGAACAGGTGTTCCTCCATGCTTTTAACAAGACGTTTGTTCCAATTGGGGAGGGTTCGGCAAGAGGGGGTGGTGGTGGACACAACACCGAGATGACCTCAAAGGCTCGACACAGCTAGTAGCAAATTGCCACCAACGACAAGGACTCTTCCCTGCCGACCCCTGACGCAGCGATTTTTATTTTTCCCTTTGGACGTGAGCACATGCACCTGTCTCACCTCTGTCTGCTTTAATAGAAAAAAAAAAAAAAAAAAAAAAAAA